GCACTGAGTGGGTGCTTGGGCTTGATGACATTTAAGCCCCTTCCAACTCTAAAATTTTAAGGCTACTATTCATAGCAATCTTTCATAATGAAAGGAAGTAATAATTTCAAAGTTGAAAGAACAATCATTCATCAGAATTATCCATAATTTGGTGGCAAAATTCATTAAAATGCAGGTATCAATATTCCACTTATCTTTCAGTAATTCTTTTACTTCCTTAAATAGTGATCCTTGATTCTAAAAACTATGTTAAAAAAAAAAAGACAAGGAGAAAAGAATGTAAAATATGATCAGAGTGATTAAAATATTCTTTACTTTTCAATTTTAGTCTCAAAGTTTTAAGAAATTTCAGTATCAGCATCTTTTTCTGCTCCCAATTCCACCAAAATCTGGTTGAGTACCAAATCATGGTACTCAAACTACCCCCTATAGAAGCAGAGAGGGAACAAAAACAGGGGGGAAGACTGGCAGCAGGAGAGGGCTGACTTTGTCTCACTGAACCCTCGACGCAAAGCTGAGACAAAAATATGGGAGAAAATACTACCTGCACAAACAAACCCTTTGATTTTCTGTAATACCCAATATTTCTTGTTAATAAACATGATTTGAATCTATTCTTCTAAATCGTGTGGCATAACCTTACCTCTAAGCCTCTATTACATTTCACTGGAAATATAACTCTCTCCAAGAATAACTAGGCACTTCATTTAAAATACTTTGAGGGCCCCAAGGGAAAGCAAAAGATTATTCTATCATACAGGAAATAAAATTAGTTTATTCTGACTCATGCCCATCAACAAAGTTAAATCCCTTCTCAGTACTATCTTCACAGCTTTTATAAGAAATATAATTTACAGGTCAGAAAATTTCTGCTCCTTTCATAAAAGTATCCCAACATTTACCAACTCTCAAAGCAGAGGTTTTAATTCTGAGGCATTCCCTCAGTTTCACCTCCTGTGAGGGAGGATTTCCTCTTAGACAAACATATGCAATAAACATTATCAAGAAAATCCTTGGGCTACCTTTTTAAAGACAAGGCAGGAAGACACACAAATTTTTAAGGTGTTACTCTGTCATCTCAAACACCTCAGTAATATTCTTGTAGGCTTCCCTCCTCTTTCCAAACTAAGTAATCCCTGTGTTTACCATCTCAAAACAAACAACTCCAACAATAACTTAAACAAAAAAAGATGACTTACATAAATCTCCTTGTATACTTCTTGGTTTTTGGTGACTTACTAGATCAAAGTTAAATATCTTCTTAAAAGGAGAAAAGTAGATATCTGCACAAACTCTGCTCTTTTAACTCTTTACCTCTTCACTAGCTGTTAGGATTCTGCCTGGCACCTTTAATTGCTCTCATTTTGAACGGTCAAAGGCCCACAACTAAACATTTATACTTCCACTATTACTTTGCTTTTAAAAGGGCATTAAACATTAAGAATTCCTCATGGACATCCAAAAGTAAATGATCTGAAATATTATTTATCTTCCATTCTCTCTAATTAGACACTAAAACTCATGTTTTACAAAGAGATGCTCTTAAATGAATCAGGATACAAATTCTTCAAATTTATTGATTTCTTGATTGAATGAGAAGATTTGGAGTCTATAAAATGCAGAAATACTCTGCAGCCTCCTAATATCCTGGTTATACTTACTCCCCTTAACACATTTTTCAGAACTCAGTCCCTTTGACACTCACATTCATCAATGCTGTTCACTTAGAATTTTCATATTCCTTCATCTTAAGGACTTCTGAAAGGAACTGAAATAATACTAAAAAAGGGATATGTTCATGCCCCAAGAGAAAATAGATTTAGGGGAATACCAGGCAGCCTGGCTTCAGTCACACAGGTCAGTATATCTGAATTTTTAAAATTCAGTTTTAAAAGATGCCCAACCATCTTCAAAGTTAGGGTCCACCTCCTCTCCACAGAAGATCCCTCAAAGGCTAAGAACAGATCTTAGGCAATTTGAGAGTTCTGTGTTCTCATCAGCTGAAATGTGCTAAGAACCTGCATAAGCCTAGAGAGGTATATTGCAGATGAAGGAATTAGTAACCCCTCAGATGCAAACAAGTGATCTTCAGGTATACTAAATTCAAACCAGCATGCAGTTACATGAAGTACATTCTTTTTTTTTTTTTTAAAGATTTATTTATTTATACAAGAATGGGGGTACAGGCCAGAGGCACGGGAGGGTGAGAGAATTCACCAGAGACAGAGCAGGGCGCAGAACAGGCAGACAGACCGAAGACACTGCTAAGGGGAGTAGTGGGCAAGACAGGAGAGGTCTGCTGTACCATGTGGATATCTCCCTGGCTGGCTGGGAATTGAACCCGTGCTGCAGAAACTGCGGACAGCTTCACAGCGCGGCGCTCAACCCACTGCGCCACAGGGGAGGCCCTAAAGTACATTCTTTTTTTTTTTTTTTTAAAGATTTATTTATTTATGCATGCAAGAGCTGGGGTACAGGCCAGAGATGCGGGGGGGGGGGGGGCGGTGAGAGCATTCACCAGAGACAGAGTAGGGAACAGAACAGGCAGATTGACTGAAATACACTGCTGAGGGGAGCAGCGGGCGAGACAGGAGAGGTCTGTTTCACCATGTGGGTTGCTCCCTGGCTGCCTGGGGATCCAACTCATGCTGCAGAGGCTGCGGATTGCTTCATAGTGCTGTGCTTAACCCCTTGAGCCACATTGTTAATGGAGCTCCAGAAGACACACTCTAAAGGAATAGCAAATCAGTTTTGAGTTCAAGAAAACCATAGTTCAAGAAAACTAAGCCATGGGTGACAAAAGCACATCCGCAATCTCAACTCCACCCACCCTCATACACACACAGTCATAGAGAAGTGGATTGCAAAGCTCCTCCTAGTCTCTCATTTCCACAGAGTTCTCATAAAAAGAGCAATGAAGAAGACAATATTCTAATGCCTTCAAATATGTTATTGTTGGCAATAAAGGGGTTAAGCTGCAATACTTTCTGGAAACTTTCCAGATCCCTTTAGTTAAGAATGCTGAATTCACTACCTATGCCACATACTTTTAAAAATTCAGCAGGGTGAGGGTTAAGACAAACACCTCAGAAAGAAAAGAGAACCTGGTTCAGCACCACCCTCTCAACACCTAATCCTAGGGACTCTAAGCAAAATCCACTCAGCATATACAAGACTCCATGGGCATTCCAAAGAGCAGGTGAAAAGAATTTCAGTTTCTTCAGGTATCTCACCTCATAGCACCACACACTTAGTAGATTTCACACATTTATGATATACACAACTGTTAGATAAAACAAAGGAATATACAGATTTTTGTGAAGGACTTGAAAAATATTTACAAGTCACAGAGGTCACTATAAATCAGCAGGAACAGTTGAAATTTGGGTGAGGAAGGTCAAACAGTGCCCATGGAAACAAAACCAAAACCAAAATAAAATAGAATATGGGCCCTAGAACTTGTCTGAAACTAGGAGGGGCAAATCCTACAGAAACAGGAGTGTCACTATTAGTAATCCTAATTTCTAGAGAGAAAGATGTTTGCTACATAAAAACAGGCAGTGACTGACAGCCTGTAAGTCATTGGAAAGGACAGTCCAGGAGCACCTGTCTTGCTAGAAATAGGTAGGAAGAGATGAGTCACTATTTTAATTCTGTTTCTTTCATCCACTCCACATATTAATCCTTTAGGTCCCAAAGCAGCATTTTCTTCCTATCTCTATCACAATATCAGTTTTCTCTCCAAACTTGTAGAGATGGGTCAGAAAGCTGAGGGGTGGGGAATAAGAGAAAACTGGAAAGAATTAAAAGCTATTTGGTTAATAGAAATACTGGGGAGATACAGGAGAAGGGGGCATAGTTTCCGAAAGAGAAGACTCCAGTCACTATAGTTACAACTAGCGAATGATTATTAAGAACCAAGACTCTTCTCCTCTCTTGCACAGTACTGTATATCTTTCAAAACTTTTCCAGTAAAAAGCAAACAAAATAGCTTCCTGGAGAGAGACCTAAGAAAGAAAATTTATCATGGGCAAAAGGTAATGAAAGGATGGAATTACAGGAATATCAGTATTCCCTCAATTTGAAAGTAAAGGGCGCCTGAGGAGAGCTACACTCTTTACAGGTAGAAAATGGGATGCCACTAGCCTTGGGGCATAGGAGACAGCAGAAGAGTTGAGATGGTTATCATGGGAAATACAAAAAAAGCAGTTCAATTACTGCAAACTTTTTGGACTTGCAGTCTAACTTCCGCACCATGGGGGAGGGTTTATTACCATCCCAGGTCCAGAAGGGCATAACCGAAAAGTTCTAAACCCCCAAAAGTGATCTGCGACAGGCCAAAGAGGTTCTCAGGATGGAGAAATCCCGGGAAGTAAATGAACGGCATGCCCGATGACCACAGGACCTGGGCTGGCACACAGCCCTGCAATCGCAGGGACAAACGTCCAAGGAAGGGCCCGAGTCAGGTAACATTCCTGCGGGGAAGGATTATCAGGTGACACCGGGCTGAGGGCCCGGAGTGGGGACTGGGCGGGAGGAAAGTTAGCAGGTGAAAGGGATCGATCATGGGGAAGGAAGTGACCTTTAGGAGGAAGAAAGACGAGTATACCAAAAAAGGGGTGGAGGGAAGCGTAAAGGAGAAACTAGACCTAGACTAGCACAGCGACCAAGACCGAGAAGGCGTGTTTCAGAGGAAGAAGAAAGGAAGCAGCGCCGAGGGGGAAGAAGAGACGCGGCTGTGGGAGCGGAGGGCAGAGCGCCAAGGCTGGGGCTGAAGGCAGCCCCAGGGCTGCCGGGGCAAAAGCCGGGTGGGACTCCGGGGCTCCCCGAGGGGAGGATGTGGGGATGCGGAGGCGAGGACCCAGCCAGAGGAGCAAGGATGGCGCGGGGGCGGCCCCCCGGAGGCAGGCGTGCGCCCCTGGGCCGGCTGTGGGGGTCCCCGGGGTCCAGAGGGCGGTTACCCCGTCGGGCTGAGGGAGCGAGGTGGGAGGAACACTCACGAATTTCTTGGATTTGCCGCCGTCCCCGCCCGCGGTAGGCAACTCGTCCGGACTCCGGCCCTTTTTCTTGTCCCGGTTCCCGCGGCCGGGCCCCGGGCCCCCGCCGGGCGGCTCCATGCCGAGGTCCGCGCTGGGTGGCGACCGCGCACCTACGCCGCTCCCGCTGGCAGCTCCGAGCCCGCCGCGGCCGCCGTCGCCGCCCAGCCGCTCCTCAGCCCGCCGCCGCGCCCCGCCTCATTAGCATGCCGGCTGCGCGCGCCTCTGAACACACAACGGCGACGCCTCGCTCCCGCTCTCCTGCCCCACTTCCGCCCGGACCCGCAGCCCCGACCAATGGGGGAAGGGAGTGGAGTGGCGAGAAGCCGAGGAAGCGCGCTACCTGCCCGGCGGGCCTAACCATTCGGACACACACGAGGGGGTGGCGAGTGGGCGATGCAGCTCTTCGCGGCCGCAAGTGGGAACGGCGCCCCCTGCCGGTTGGAGCGGCGAAGGTTTCGCCGCTCCCACGCAGCGCCCACATGGCTGTAAAGCCCGAATCCACTCACGTCCCAGACCCCTGAACCAAAAACCACCTGAGAGACTGTTATCGTGGCAGAAAATGTAGTGCCGGGTTTTCCAGGGTAATGATTTTTATGTGTGTAACACCTGTAGAATGCATGAAGATAAAAATGACAGGTACCATTTATTGAAAGCTACTTGCCAAGAACAGAGCTGGAACCTGGGGAAGTGCTAGACTGTACCTGTACCACCTTTGGAATTAAATCACCTAGTTTTCAATCCCAGGTTGGCTATTTTCTAGTTATGTTTCTAACCTCTAAAAGCTAGTTATGGCCGACGTGTGCCTACATAGTACTTACATTTACATGGCTTTGCCCTATGTGGGGCATAATGTGTTTTCTCACTGAATCCTCACAATGCCATGTGATACAGATTCCACTAGTCTCACCATTTTACAGATAGAAATAGGGACTTGGAGAGTTGGGCAAGTCGAAAATGACTTGCCCAAGAAAACCTAATAAAACAATTTAAACCTATGTTAGTCTGAGTGCCAAGCCCTGTTTAACCAGGATTCCCTGCCATAAACCAAAACAAGAAAGAAAAAGAATATGTGTTCTCCAAGACTATGTTCTTTGCTCTACTAGCTTAATTTCTCCCTGAGTAATTTCATCCATGCAGCTACATCTGTCTCTTCTGTTAAAAGCATGTGGCACCCCTCAAAGTACAGACAGAATTATCTTGCCTGCAGCTGCACAAGATTTCAAATGTTCTTTGACGGCAGTCAGTGACTCACTCATTCTGGAACCCCCAGTCCAGCACCTGAGAGTTACAGGGACTCTGCCAGGCTGGCACTATCCTCAATTTCACCTTCATCTCTTGTGTTCCACCTTCCAATTGCCTGACAGAAATTTGCATAGAGGTGTCCATTCTACATTTTAAATTCGATTTGTCCAAAACAGTTCAAAAGCCACTTTCTAAACAGGGGTGTTGAAATACAGACAGGATGAAAGCATGGAAGGCGTGACAATCTTTTTTTCTTTCTGGTACCACCATCTCCATCTGCTGTAGCATATCTCACTCCTCACTGGACTATGAACTCCTCCTCTAGGAAAGGGTCAGTGTTTGTGGCTACTACAGTTTCTAGCATCCATTTGCATAGACAATTTAGACAACTGACAACTATTTATATCAGGCATTGTACTAAGCACTTGTCATGTTTTATTCAGCATACCTTCACCAATTAGAATTGACACTCCAAATACCCAAGCTCAGAAACCTCAAGCCATCTTCTATTTCCTCTCTTAAATTAATAATCTGCCCAGGTTTGTCTCTTAGCCAAAATGCTCTATTAACACTCTATGTATGAGTAAGATAATTCATGTAGACTATATAACAGGGCCTAATATAAAATCTAAGTGCAGAGTGAATGTTAATTATTATTTTTATTATATATATTATCACCCCCATTTCCTTTCCCTCTATACAGAGAAAACTAGCAAGAATTAAGAATATTCTCAGAAAGGCAAAGGTACAAAAAATACCAACTTGGTTTATTGGATAAAAACAGTGGTAAAATGGACATAAAGTCAAAAGTTACAAGACATTTTCATGTCCTCCCCACTCAAAACTATACTTCCCATCATCTGGGATTAAGGGAGCCAGAGCTCCCTAAAGTCCCGCATTCTTCACCTGCACTGGAAGCAAGACCCCCAAAGCTGAATCCAGAAGAGGATGAAGTCAGAGGCAACTTCATTTCTGTCTACGTCTTCATCCCTAAAAGTGTCTGGGTTGGAGGGAAGCAGGAAGGAATAAAGGAACCAGAAGGTCTGGGGACTGGTTTCTACGGCCCACTGCCTAAGATGTCCTAGAGACAACTATCCTTGTCCCCATCCAATCCCTAATAGGTACCATTGTCAGGCCTTGGGAGGGAGAAGGAAGGGGGTAATTGGTTAGAACCAGATATGGTCTCCAAATCCTTCCCCAGGGTTGATAAATGCCCTAAGGTGCCAGTCCAGGGATGGGGGAGCCACACCTTTTCCTTCCCACCCAACCAAGAGGTAAAAAGAATTTCCCTGGGACACTGGAAGCCCAGCCACTCTTATATCTCCACATCGCTTTCTTTGTCATTGTCATGATCTCCATCATAGAACTCATTGGGTGCCTCTGGCCTGCAAAACAAGGAGAGAGAAGTCAGGGTCCCACTTTCCAAGTCCCAAACTTGTCCCACACCAATGCCCTCTCTGAAATCACTTCTCAGATGTTCTTTCTCAGGGAACCACTCCTCTCCTTCTGTTCTGAAACTGATCACTGATTGAGAGAACTCCTTGTAGGCTGTAGCAGAACAACAGCATTATTAGGGAAAGTTGTTCTAAGAAGGTCAAAAACTTTAGTCTGAGAAGGAGCTGGCCAGGCCAAGAGCTCAGTAAGGCCATTCCAAGCTGCAAGAAAACCAAAAACAGAGGTTATAAGGTGGAAGGAGGCTGATGTATCCCAGTAAGAGGATGGAGGTCAGAACTCTAGGTGCAGTCTGCATGCAGAAGGGTAGAGATGAGACTACGGGTGCAGGTAAGGGCAGGCATGCATGATCTTTTTTTTTTTTTTAAAGATTTTTATTTATTTATATAAGAGCTGGGGTATAGACCAGAGGCATGGGAGGGTGAGAGAATTCACCAGAGACAGAGCGGGGAGCAGAACAGGCAGGACTGGAGACACTGCTAAGGGAAGCAGCGGGTGAGACAGGAGAGGTCTTCCACGCCATGTGGGTATCTCCCTGGCCGGCTGGGAATCGAACCCGCACTGCAGAAGCTGCCTACAGCTTCATAGCGCTGTGCTCAACCCGCTGCGGTACCGGAGAGGCCTGGCATGCATGATCTTTTAAAGCCATGGTCAGAAATTTGTATTTCCTTCTAAGTGCAATGGAAAGGAGAGCTTTAAGCAGAGGAGCAACAAATTAACCTATAGTGAGCAAAAGGATATGAAAGCAACATAGACCCCAATAAGTACTCCATACTGGTTTCTTTATGGAAAACTACTTTCTGGAAGAATATGAATAATTGATAACTGAATTAGCTCACCCACAGTCTGTAAGTCAGGAAGAATGGAGAAAGTCATCAAAGAGAGGCCGGGAAAGTAAATCAAGAAAGGTGACATCTACCTGGTGAGCAATGTCTTGGTTACCTCTAAGTACACATGGGTTAAAGGTGTGAAGTCAGAGATTAATTTTTGAATGTCAGTCTTGATATTTAATTAGCTATGAGACCTTAGGAACTTACTTAACCTGAGTTTATGAGTCCTCCTTTAGTAATTTTAGGATAACAGCTACCTTTGAGAGCTGTCTGATAGGAAGAGAATGATGACATGATGATATGTATGTTATAATATAGTGCATTTAGTACTGAATCTGGTGCTTAGCAAACCCACAAAAAACAGTAACTATTGTTATTACTATTCTGCAAATGATATGCGAGCTGGAACCCCAGTCATCAAAGAACAGGAACTCAGTGGGTGGTCTGACAGTAAGCTTCAGTGCAGGATAGGAAGAGGCCTAAGGCTTCTGCTGGCTTTTGAAAGGGGGTGCTGTAATGCAGAAACTAGGCACAGAATGTAACTAGAGATGAAAAAATTAAACTTCGCTAAAAAGAAATTTTAATACAGAAATCAAGCCTCAGAGACTGGAGAAGTTGAGGAAAGACAGGATGGATCAAAAAGGAATCTCTCAGGCTGGGTGTGCAGATAACTCCCAAACCCAGAGTGGGAAAGAGGGGGTGTGCATGGAGGAGGAGTGTTGCAGGGGCCCCAAGGTTCCAGCAGTAAATCCTAGGTCCAGAGGAAAGACTTGAAAGCCCAAAATTCAAGACAGACAAGGACACTGTTCTGGAAGGGACTGAAAAGTACATCAGACTCTGCAGCAGACCAGCTCAAACCTCTAGTACTGCATGAGAGCAGGAGCAGGTGTCCTGCAAGTGTGCACTGTGGTTATCCCCCAGCCATGTACGAAAACCTGCTCTCCATTAAGTGTGTCTGTTTCTGTACTTCTGGGTTCTGTTGTGTTTTCTGTTTTCAGAAAAGCATGTTTGGGGATTAAGAAAATTCTATCCTACTCTTTTTTCCTTTAATTCAGTGCATCTGTGAATATTTTAGTGTATAGCTCACAAAGATAAGGACTATAGAAAAAAAACAAACCACAATGCAATAATCACACACACAAAATTTCACAGAGAAATCCAAGGGCCTTAGAGAACACTGCACACAGGCAGTGATCAGCTCAGGACCAGGAAGGAGTAAAATGCTGGCAAGAATGTAAATTGTTAAAGACATTTGGAATACAATTTGGCAGCAAATTTTTAAGTTTAGTGCACATAGACATTGACCTAACACCAATAATTCTAGCTATCTAACCTACTGACACAAGCATGCAAAGGAGTATATGTAAGGGGATTCACTAACAAATGCATTCTGAAAGTGGGAAATAATGTAAATGCTCATCTGTGGTAATTGGTGAGATGATACTACATTCACATATTGGAATATTATACCGCTGATAAAATAAGAAAGCAGATCTGCATGGTGTTGTGGGAAGATACATTATTTCCAATTAAAAAACAAAGAACAAGTTGTAAC